CGTGCCCTTTTTGGAACTCTTAACAACCGGTTCTCAGCCCTCCCAGCAGCTCAGAGCTGAACAGGCAAACTAACAGTGTGGACTTGACACCACCATCTTTTAAACTATTCATATACTCACCCTGACATGTGGGGGCATTTTCAATTCCGGGCTGAAGTGTTTCCTTTGACACCAATGAGAGACCAGCCTGCAGTTCACCAAGCATTCCTCAGTCCTCGAATATTTTCCATAAAGGTTTCAGAGAAGTAGGAGGCATTATGCAGTCGGTATCTCCAGGTAAAATCATAGTGGTAAGGGAATAGAAGGTTTATCCAGATACTAATAGCTGCACATTGTCCATCAACAATGTTTTGGTTTTTGTCTCAAGAAACCCAACCAGTCACATGCTTTAGAGGATACAGGCTTCAGGTTTGAGTTGTCCAATACCAGAACAGGATGCTTGAAGGGATCCTGTAACTCAAGGCAAAAAGATCCATTAAAGGATTGGCGCCGGCGACAACGGCAGCCTGTCATGGCAGCTCCTACCATTGTTGTAGTTTCAGTGTGTTTTTTGCTATTTTTAACTGTTTTCTTACTTTCTTACTTTCTTATTACTTTGTTCAGGTCGCCTAAATACTTTTTTGGCGTTTTTGAGCACTTTTTATTTTTTGTTTGCCGGGGTCTCCATGGCGATGGCAAGTCGCATTGTTTACATCCACGACCAGATGATCGTCCTGAGGTACCCGAGCATCCTGACAGGAGAGAGACCCTCCATACCGGAGGAGCTGAGGAGGAGACGGTGAGGCTGCAGAGCGGGGGTTAAACGGAGGATGAAGAAGAGGAGCTTTAAACCCTACAAACGTGGCTACACGAGCAGATACCGGACTCCAACGTCACCATTCCTGGCTTCCAGATGGTTCGAGCCAACAGGGACATCACCGTGACCGACATGAAGAAAGGAGGGGGACTGTCCGTGCTCATAAACAACAGGTGGTGTAACGCCGGGCACGTCTGTGTGAAAGAGCGTCTGCAGCCCGGACATCGAGCTCGTCCATGTTATCTGCCACGGGAACTTTCCATCTATGTTCCTCACAGTGGTCTTCATCATCACCATCACTGTTTACATTTATGTCTTATTTATTCTCCTGTACAGCACTTTGGTCAACTTTGGTTGTTTTTAAAGTGCTTAACAAATAAAGTTGGATTGGATTGGATTGGATAAGATGTTATTTTTGTTTGTTTCCTTTCGATGTAATTAAATCCCATTAACAGACTGTACAAAGAATTTGTCCTTCTGGTACATGCATGCACTGCTTATTACCCTGGTCAAGGAGGTAATGTTCGTTCGGGAGAAGAGCGAAAACATCTAGAACAGCCTTCAGTGCCATTCTTTCTTTGCCATGCTCTTTTGTCAATAAACAAATACGAAATAATGGTCTGAAATAACTTATGCTAGCAGCATCTACGCTAACCTTTTTAGCAGCCGCCATTGTTTTTGAACAACAGTTGCTTCTTGCTGCATCATACTGCCAGCAGTTCCTCCAAGCCAACTGCTTAACATTGACTATTCAGTTGTGTTCCTCCATCATGAATTTGACCCCAGTCTGGTTTGACTTGTTTAAAAAACATAGGGTATGAATTATGATCCAATACTGTGTTTCACCTTGTTAGTCAACTCAATACCAACTCATTAACACCAAGCTTGACCCAAATTTCTATAATTTAGGGTCAGTAAACCTCATTAATGCGAAATTATATTATTATATTAAATTTTTATATACTAAAAGTCGGAATAATTTTGACTATAGTTAATATAATAGGAATAAATGTTGATTGATTATCACAGTCTGTTATATGTCAAAGTTTAGTCAGGACACTGTTTTGAAAGCATTACATTTTTTACAATGGTGACAATAATGACACCTGTTGTCCTTCGGGGTGTGTGTATGTCTGTGTGTGTGTGTGCGTGTATTTGTGGTGTGTGTGTGTATGTTATATGTATGTGTGCGTTATATGCACTGTGTGGGTGTGTCAAACATGACCCCAAGACATTATGAGGGTTAAAAATGCTTAAGACAGATGGCGAGCTGCCCTTCTTGCTGTTGAACTATTAAGTAATATTAGCTAGCTTGCTTTCTCTTGTGGTGCCACACTTGTTTGACAAAGCTTAGCAAAGTTTTGACTTTTTGATGGTAAGTAATGTAATCATAACAAATGTACAGCTGTCTACTGCTGTACTGCTTGGGGATGCCAAATCTAGCTAAATACCAAATCGTACGTAATGTTGCTTTAAATATAGGTATTCACTGTATATACCTTCACATGTAATTTCACACTGCAGAGATACAAGCTGTTCCAGCAAAAATAGACCTCATGTGTAACGAAAAAAGAGCAGCATGATAGCTCACTGTAAAAAGATAAGTTCATTTAACTTTATACATTTTCAGTAAAACTAACTTTTTTATTCAATTTTGTAAGTTAAAAAAACATTCTTGGTCAAGTAGCTTTAGTAATTAGAAATTGACACTGACGAGAAGACAGTGACTTTTATTTGTAATGTGAAAGCAAAATACCTAGTAAAAAATTATTAATAAGGAATGTTTCTTTAACTTTAACACTAAGTTAGTGTCACTTAAAATAACAAGTAAAATGTGCTTCATCAAGAATCTTTTTTTACTTATAAAATTGAGATTGTATTACTTAAAAATTTAGATGTAATCCCGTTTAACATTTTTTTAGAGTTAAAATCACTTACCGCATTACAGTGCTGTGAGTGAGTCATGATGGAAGTTGGCAGACTGGCTAGAATGGCTGTGTACGTAACACATCCAGTGGATGTTCAGTTGTTGTCATATTATCATCTCACATTATCCTTAAAGTTGCTCTTTAGTCAGAAATCAGAGGATCAATGGTGATTAAGCACTGAGAATGGACTTTACAGTGAAGTAGGGGACATCTTGCGTCAAGCAAGAAAACTTTAGAAATTAACAACATTTGCATATTCAGAGATTCTGGAAGTTTTAATGAAGTAGAATAACTGATAAACTGTACAATGAAGCCAAACAGTGAACTCAGTAACTGCAGGACATTTGTGTGAAATGACTGATTTGGATGAATTTTAAGCAGATTATTTCCTGTTAAGGGAACTTTTGTACAATTCTCTGTCTGTTTTAAAAAATATATTTTTAACAATCACACAGACATAATAGGCTTCCTTGATTTCTTGTCCTTAGTGCTTGACCATTGTTCTGTTAGACAATTTGCTTTACATTTATTTTTCTTAACATAAGTGAACCAAATGCTGAGATATAGGCCTGCTGTGTATATTTTTTCAAGTTTTCTTACACCCCTTAAAATAAAGAATGCTTTGCGACCCCCCCATGAAGCTTTGGCGACACCTAGGGGGGTCTCTGCCCCCAGGTTGGGAACCACTGACTTAATACATGTTTGGAGGGGCTCTTTAAGTATTTTTTTCTTATATCTCGCTATATTGAGCCATTGTCATTAAAGTTTGTAAATGCTTGTATGTAAAATGACACTACAGCAGGAGTAATTCGGCCTCTTCCATCTTCAAATATCCACCACATTTATAAAATCTCTGAAGTTTTGCAGAAAAAAACAACAGCGGCAAAATTCTTTGATTTAGCAAAACACCCACAAGCTCCAGCTGACTCCCATATACAGCACGATATTGTTGTCACCTGTGTCTCTGTCTGCTTTCAGTTGTATTCACTTCCCAAGCAGTGGGGAAGAATCTGTCATGTTTTCAGGAGGACTTCCCAGAGGGAAGCAGATGTTCTTTCATCAAGCTCTCCAACAGGGTAGGAGGAAGGAAAGGAATTGGAAAGCAGAGGAAGGAGGGTCGAGAGAGAGAGAGAGTGAAAAAAATATAAAGGAGTGCAATACAGAGGGAAGGAAAGGAGGCAGACGTGGTGGAGAATTAGATGGATTTGAAGGAGAAGAGGGTGGCTCTCTTGGGCTCAATGCCAGACACTGCTATAATGCTTTTCCTGCAATCTGTACATTAGCAAAAGCATGGCTTGGCATCACATTTGAAATGCTTTCCACTTGTGTCTTTTTTCTCATTCTAATCATTTCACATTTCACAAGAAAATTAAAGTTGTGTTTCCATTCGTTATTTTTGTTTGTTTCCTTTCGATGTAATCAAATCCCATTAACAGACTGTACAAAGAATTTGTCGTTCTGGTACATGCATGCACTGCTTATTACCCTGGTCAAGGAGGTAATGTTCGTTCGGGAGAAGTGCGAACACATCTAGAACAGCATTCAGTGCCATTCTTTCTTTGCCATGCTCTTTTGTCAATGGAGAAATACGAAATAATGAAGGTCTGAAATAACTGATGCTAGCAGCATCTACGCTAACCTCTTTAGTAGCCGCCATTGTTTTTGAACAGACGTGGTGGAGAATTAGATGGATTTGAAGGAGAAGAGGTGGGCTCTCTTGGGCTCAATGCCAGACACTGCTATAATGCTTTTTCTGCAATCTGTATATTAGCAAAAGCATGGCTTGGCATCACATTTGAAATGCTTTCCACTTGTGTCTTTTTTCTCTCCAGGAGGGAATTTTCAATTTCAAAGCATTCCTGCTAACAAACACTATAGTGCTTAGTGGAGAACTTTCATTCAAAGTGGGCATCGCTGAGTGTTTTCCTGTTTAATTATTTACAACCTTCTTATTTGAATTGCAGATCTCGGCTGCTCCAGCGTAGCACGTGTTTTTGTCCCTGCTATACAGACTTACAACCTCTCCATCCGCTCGTTTCGCCTTGCAGCAGACACAACAGGTGCCGTGTTAAAAAAAAAAAAAAAGGGGGGAGCCCCGCTTAATGAGAAGATCAGTAAATCATATGTTTACAGAAAAGCCCCTCGTGACGGAGCTATTCAGAGAGGCTTGCTTTGCTCTTTCCGAAAGCCAAGCTAACAGACTGTCTGGGCAACATGTGTCCTATTAATTCTGTCCATGAGGGTTCATAGACTGCGACTGCTGCTGCTCCTGCAGAGGAGGAGGCGCAGTCACCACCAGGACACACATGATTCATCTCTGCTCGCCGCCCCTGCCCACTCTCAACAGCACTCAGGGTAGGAATACATATACTCAGCTCAACAACACACAGGGTTACACATATACTAGCTGGAAATATGACTGCAGGGTTTGTAAATACTGCATTGTTTCTGCAGAAAATAAACTTCTGCTTTGGGTATTGTAACATCACCAGAATGACATCCTGACAGCAATTTGCATACTGGAGCTGATTTTTAAGTGTGCACATACGGGTAGGGGTATGGGCTTACAGGTACAGTTATAATTTTGCTGCTATTTGTTTAGTATTTTGCTTGAATTGAGCAATGCAGAGATGTACCTCTTGCAATCGGTGGGTTGTTTTTAGCATCTCTCGATAATGTACTTGCTACTTACAAGTGCAATATGTAATCTCTGCCTGTAGGGGGTCTGTTACGTCAAAACAGTAACGAAAAGAGGTTTGATGACGTTGTGAAATAGCGTGGGATGATGGGAGTCCACAATACTAATTAGCATGTTATGTCTTGTAGGGCTGCTGAATAGTCAACTGAATGGTTAGTCGCTGAGAGTCTTAGTCGACCCACTTTTCATCAGTCTGATAGTCGCAGAAAAACTTTAAAATGTGCTCAGGAGCTCCGCCTTGTCACCGGGAGTTTCAGGACATTTGACAGTTTTTTATACTGGTGCATTATTGCATATGTTAACTGTACTACCTGCTGCCATTAGCTAGTCCCATTAACTGTCTGTACCAGAACTATAAGCTTGAAGGAAATATATATATTAAATAATTCATTTAATATCATAAACGTATGATGACTAGTCGACTAGAAAACTGTTTTGTCAGGGCAGCCCTAATGTCTTGTTTGTTTAATCTGTACAAAAACAGAAATGAAAAAGGTTTTTACAGGGAAGAAGAGGGGCTATAATATCATCACTGTCACATAGAGGGTTGGTCTGTCGCTGCTATCATTGCAGAAACATTCTAATCATTTCACATTTCACAAGAAAATTAAAGTTGTGTTCCATTCGGTGGCATCTGGCAGCACAGGGATTTAACATGTTGTTTTTCAGATGAGAGACACATTTTATGTTCAGCTTCACTGCTAGTTGGGGGGTATGAGCGTATGGGAGCTACAGCCCCACAAATTGTGTTTACACAAAGCAACAGAAAAACAAGATTGCTGTGAAACACAACTTTTATGGAGATCCGCTCCCCCAGATGAGCTGAAATGATTGCACGTCTGCTCTCCTCCTCCACTTTTAATTGATTCAGTGTAATAAGCTGCAGTTTTTATCCACCACAAATAACAATATATTCTGGTGAACAGTGCACTGACTAACTAATCAGGAGTGGATTTTGCCAATATCCAGTTTTGCAAAAGGTTCCTATGGAAGCCCATTTCTGCCAATGTGCGGGTAAAAATCTGTAAGTCATTGACTTAGTATCACCAATTTATTATTTTGAGATACTAAGTCAAAATATTGTGAAGCTTTCCCATTATAATGACTTACAGAATCTTTATTTTTTGAAATGACAGACCGTAAAAGATCTGAACCACAGTGAGCAGTGAATTTACTTGGACTGAAAAAAATGCAAGTGAGCTGAAATTATGAATTTAAGTGAATTTAACAGATGTTTGCAATAGATAGTTTAACTTACCATACTTTATAATAATTTATACAAAAACAGAATGAAACAATATGAAATTTCAGAAATTCAGAAAAGTTTTTTGTTTTTTTTTGCAATGTTTACCATCAATTGACATTTCTGTTGATCATTAGAGGATGTTTTCGGGGTTAGAGGATACATCTGGTGCTATTAAATATTTTTCTTACTGTCATCAAATGCTATCTGCAGACTCAAACTAGGGTTGTGCAATTAGTCAAAATATTATCGAAAATCGCAAAATGGCCAAGGAAAAGTGTGACAAACAGCATTGTAATGAAAGACTGTAGTGCTGCAGAGATACACTGGTGTACAAATCCTTTTCTCCAGATTTAAGAAACATGTCATATCATCATGATTGTTTTTTTCAGTGAAAATTAAAATTGTGATGCAAAAATTATTATTCCCAGTAGTCCTGAATCATATCTTTCAAAATAGAGAGATGAGGGATAACAAGTCGTCCATGTTTTGTGCTTCACTCTTAATTAGTAAGAGTAGGGTGTTTTTAGTGTTGTTTCTTTTTTTCCAACTAAAATCCTTTGAGTATTAGTTAATTTAGAGATTTAAATAATAGTTTTTCGAGATCTCCGGAGCGATGAGCGAGTAGGATGCACTCACCAGCGGCTCCCGCAGATTTAGAAGTTAGAAGTTTTAAACTAAACGAAACTTTGGGAAATTTACCAAGTAACAGTTTGAGAACTTTTACATGAGAAGGGGCACGTCGAAAATGCCGAGAAAAACAAATGCAAAACTTGACCTGGACGAGGAGACAGGCCAGCATGAAGCCTCGGGCTCAGCTACAGAGACGAGAGCCGGTGAGAGCGCCCAGCAGGCAAATAGCAACGACGTGCTAAAGGCCATAACTTCACTCCACTCAGAGCTAACACTTACGAAGTCGGAGATCTGCAACAAGTTCGAGGCGGAGATTTCAGAGGTAACTACCACCTTGAGAGGGGAGATAGCTTCGCTGAAAACCGAAAATAACACAGCAATATCGGCGCTGCTAACGACACTTCAGACACAATACAAGAGTTGGAAGACAAAGTTAAGAGACTTTCTGGGCAAGCTGAATCACTATCAGAGAAATGCCTTGATCTGGAAGGCCGTTCAAAGCGACAGAATCTAAGAGTGTCCGGAATTAAGGAATGACAGGGAATGAAAATGGCCAAAAACCGAGGGAGTTTGTGGCTCAGTTGTTAAAAGAAGTGTTAAACCTCACAGATGCACCAGTTAGAGACCGAGCCCATAGAGCCCTGAGGAAACGACCTGGCAATGATGGACCCCCCCGGCACTTTATCGCAAGGCTACATTACTGCCATGCTTACGAAGATATAATACAGAAGGCGATGTCCATCAAAGATCTAACGTACCGGGGCCAGCGGATACAGACCTTCAGAGATCTGAAGCCACCTGAAGTCGCAAGACACCGAGCTGCCTTCACCCCAGCCAGAAAGATACTATGCAACAAACCCGGGGTTAAATTCGGACTCCTGTATCCTGCTAAGCTACGGGTGACACACAATGGGTCAGAGTGGCTCTTCAAGGATCCAGAAGAAGCGTGCCAATACGCAGCCCATCATTTCGGGTCATCAGAGTGAGGTGATGGTGAGACCCCCCTATAACACTGGTCCAGATATTGTGAACATCTCATTCCCTGAGACAAACTGAAACTGAGGACTTCAACAGGTGACCAGAAGTCACGGCAGTTGCCGGCGTTTTGTTTACATTTAAAGCTACAATTAGTGTTATTAGTGTTAGTGTGTTATAAGATATTCCTTTCACATACGGTTTAATAAGCTAAGACATGCAATGGCTTTCTTGCTGAGCCGACGACAGGGTTAAAACCTCTCCCCATTCCATATGGTGCTGTTCATATATATAAATAATTCTTCTAAAATGTTCATATGCGCATTTAACGCAGATTAGATGGTGGCATCAGGAGAGGAACTAAAACTGTGTCCTAAGGTTCCTTATTCATCGTTTGAATATGAATACTCCCCGTTAATGTTAGAATCAATATAGCCACAGTTTACTAACGTTTTTGGTTGTTTATATAACTGCAGAGCTGCACAGTTAGGAGCAGGATGGTAACGATTAAGAACAGGTTTTTTGATAAGAGCTGGGGAGATCGGACCTCTGGGAAAGAGGCCTGGTCTCACTCCCAGGTTTTTGACTGTAAGTTGACCCGTGGGGAGATATGCTTTTTCTTTTTGTGCTACTTAGATCAAAATACATCAAAATAGAGATGCCACATCAGGGATCACGGTTGGAGCAGATATGTCATCATGACCATACATACTGACATGGCAGGGGGAGACATGAGAACAGGGGGAAATCTAACGTTTTGCTCGTGGAATGTAAATGGAATTAATGAACCAGTAAAGGGAGGGAAGGTACTATCTCATTTGAGACAGATCTAAGCGGTTGTGATTTTTTTTTTACAAGAGACACATCTGAAAAATGAAGCACACAATAAAATTAGAGCCAGATGGATAAACCAAGTATACAATTCCAAATTTACAGCTAAAGCAAGGGGAGCAGCCATAATAATTAGTAAAAACGTTCCCTTTCTACATAAGTCTACCATAGCTGACAAGGATGGGAGATATATTATGGTCACAGGAGAGATACACTCCATACCAATCACATTACTGAACGTGTATGGACCAAATTGGGATGACCCAGAATTTTTTACAAAGACTTTTAGTCTGATCCCAGATATCTGAAGTACAAATCTCATTATTGGCGGGGATTTCAATCTGGTTTTAGATACCTATCTGGACAGATCATCAAATCAGAGATTACCTCAATCCAATGCTTCCAATTTTCTGAATTAATTTATTAAAAACACCAATATGGTGGATGTGTGGAGAATCTTGAATGCAACTGGTAGAGAATATTCGTTTCATTCTTGAGCTCAGAAAGTGTACTCCAGAAACGATTTTTTTCTGCTAGACAGCAAACTTCTATCTGGGGTAAATAATGTTAAATACCACAACATAATAATCTCAGACCACTGTCCGGTTTCTGTCTCACTAAAGCTGCTTGAGTTGAGGAGAAATTTTAGATCCTGGAGGCTTGATCCACAATTGCTAACAAGAAAACAATTCTGTGAATATTTGGAGACTCAGAATTATTTTTTGAAACAAATGATAAAGATGACATCTCCCTAGTTCTTCTGTGGGAGTCTCTCAAAGCATATATAAGAGGATGCATTATTTCGTATCAGTCCTCACAAAAGAAACGCAACAATCAAAAGCAGACAGATCTAGAGGAGCAGACACGGAAATTAGATGCAGAAAACGCCGCCCAGCCTTCCGCAGAGAAATACAATAAAATCTCAGCCCTCAAATATCAGCTCAATACACTTCTTTCTGAAAAACTTTCTAAAGCTTTTACGTTTACTAAACAGACTTTTTTTGAAATCGGGGATAAGCCTCATAAACTGTTGGCAAGACAACTGCGGAAAAGGGAAAGTGATAGGGCTATTCATAAGATAAGATCAGGCAATGGCAACCCTGTCACTTTGCACAACGATATTAATAATGCATTTCGCCAATATTATTAAGTTTTATACAGCTCCCAGGCACATGCACCTGAGACTATGAAACAGTTCCTAAATGCATGTCAATTACCAACATTGTTGGAGAGTGATCAGAATTCCCTAGGAATGGAAATTACAGAGGGAAAAATACAAAGAAATATAATAAATAATTTGAGACTATGTGGCTATATTAAATAAGTTTAAAAACAAACTAGAGTTCTGGAAAACCCTCCCTATTTCCTTGATAGGTAGAGTAAACGCAATTAAAATGGTCTGTCTCCCTCGGTTACTGTACCTCTTTCAAAACTTTCCCATCTTCCTTAGTAAAACCTACTTTAAAAAACTAGACTCTATGATTCTCTCATTTATCTAGAATTACAAAACGTATAGGATCAGAAAAGGGCGTCTTGCAAAAGTAAACAAATGGGGGTTGGCCTCCCAATTTTAGGGGAATATTGGGCGCAAATATTCGATGCATCTCCTACTGGCTGGATGAGACAGATGTGCTCACCGCTGCTATTGAGCAAAAGGATTGTACCCCCCCCCCAGGGTTTGTGATGTCTCCCATCCACCTTAAAAAATCATATTATAGCCATAACCCAATCATACACAGCACTATTCAGATCTGGAGGCAAATATCAAAACAGCTCAAACTTAGGAAGCTATCCTTTACACTCCCAATATCAGCAAATCCATCATTCACCCCTTCTATTATAGATGGAGGCTTCGATAGATGGAAAGAACTTGGACTGCAGTGTGTGGGAGATCTGTACGTTAGTGGTTCATTTGGGTCATTTCAACAACTACAAGAGAAATATGGTCTGTCAAAAAGTGAATGTTTTAGATATCTCCAAGTCAGACACTTTGTAAGGACACACGTGGACCATTTTGAAAACGCCACCCCTGACAAGCTAGACAGGTGTCTCAGAGATTGCACAATGGAGAGGAATGCAATTTCAGTTATACGATTCATTTCAGAAGCTAGACCAGGTGAACATGGAATACATAAAGGAAGGCTGGGAAGAAGAATTGGGTATGGGAATAGCGGAGGATATATGGAAGGAATGCCTGAGATATAGCAACACTTGCTCTCTGAATGCTAGGCACTGCTTGATCCAGTTTAAAATTCTGCATAGGCTGCATTACTCAAAAGTAAAATGACATAGAATCTTCCCAGAAATATCGCCCATCTGTGAAAAATGTAACCAAGCAGAGGCAAACCTACTTCACAGTTAACACACTATGCCCCAAACTAGAAAGTTTCTGGACAGCAGTGTTTTCATTTTTGTCAAAGGTCTTCAAGACTACATTAAGGCCAGATCCACTCTTGGTCATACTGGGGATATCAGGGAGCACTGGGAACCTGCAGAATATGCAACGCTGCCTTCTATCCTATGGTCTCTTCTGTGGGAAAAAAATTGGTCTCCTCCAATGGAAAAAGACGGAGACACCCACTTTTAAAGCATGGTTAATGGCACTGACTGATACCTTGCATCTTGAAAGGATTTGTTATTCTCTTAGTGACAGATTGGAGGATTGAAGGATGTGGCAACCAATTAGTTCTTTCTTGAAACAGGATGTAGGACAACCTGAGTAGCATTGGGTGGGTGGGACGGGGTGGGACAGGGAGGGTTATTTACTCATTTATTTACTTAATTTTGTATACTATTTTTTCTCCCATCAATTGTTTTTCATTTATTTACTTACTTGTAATACACCTTTGTTACTTATGTTACAAAACAACGAAGCATTGCATAAACCAAGATGGTTGTATTTTTGATATACTGTTTGCTTCACAATAAAAATATTTGAAACATATCTGTCAAAATAATTGCAATATCATGTTTTTACCATATCATGCAGCCCTAAACTAAACCAACAATGAATGTACCTACTAACAAGTACAGTGTGTATCAGAGCCTGATATATCTTCTTCCTCTGTGCCATAGAGCTCAAACTATTAAAACACACATCAATGAGCCACACTGATGCACTGGGTGACATGTTCCTTTATTACCATGAACACACACACACACACACACACACACACACACACACACACATACACACAGTAGTTTATTTTTTTACTCACTCCCACTTACACTGTACTGCAGCCCCGAATACTCACTTGAGCACCAAATATGGATTAATCCGCTGCTGAAAATAGTGCCCCAAAAATGCACTATTTCCTCCTGTTTGGGTGACGTTTGATTAAAAACTACAGTGAGCAGCTGGTGATGACTGAGCCTTTTTTTCAAAATGACACTATATTTGAGTTACATCTTTAGCAGGAACCAATGGGGCAGATCTCGATGTACAAAATTTGGGGGACTTCTCTATTAATACATATTTTCAGAAGAATGCCTGTTTAGGGACAATAATTTGTCTTCCAATTCTCCCTGGGATCCCTTTTCACTGCCTTTTTGTCCACTTAGTTAATATTATTCATAACTTCAGATTTATCGACACTCAGATTAATTGAATTTCTCTCCTCAATACATTGCTCTCATGCATATATGATGATGCAAGGGAAAGCGCTGGGGATTCTTACTGCCATATGATCTCTATGCATTGGGATTATGGATGCTTTAAAAAAAATAAACACAAGCTTTTATTCCTTTTAGATATTTAAAATAAAAATCTTTGTGACGCCCACAGTCCATCATGTTGTAAAGAGAATGATGTGTTTCTCCTGCAGCTTGTATGCTGTGAGAGCCCTTACATCCTTTTCCCTGGAGGCATGTGATGCTGTAAACATGCTGAGAAGGGAGAAGAAAAAAAACTCCCTAACACACCGTTTTCAAAATATAGTGATGTGATTTTGCCAATATCTGCAGGTTTGCATGTTCCCGCATGAAAGGGACAGTTAGCGTCTCTTTAAAAAAAACTGTTGTTCAAAGAAAAAAGAGGCAGTTGCATGGATACAAGGCTTGAGCTGAGAAACTGAATAACAGCCCGAGGCTACATGTTTGCTTGCTGCCTTTGCAACTCTGCTGTGTGTGTGTGTTTGTGTGTGTGTGTGTGTGTGTGTGCATTACATGTGTGGGTTTCCTATGTGTTCTTCTTTCCGTGTGTGTGTGTGTCTGTGTGTACAAACTTGTGCTTTAATCTAATTTTTTTACACTGCTGCGTTACCTGCTGGATTTTAATGTGGGATGATCTTTTTCTGCCCCTCAGCTCAAGGTGCAGCCAGAGATATCCCACATGCTTCAAAACACCCCCTGTGACGAGCTAGAAGATCAGCAAGAAGGCACGGCTTATGACCTAGCAGTTGTTCACAAAGGTAATTTATCTCATGTATTTATTTATATTTCATTTAGAGAATGAACAGAAGCATGGCGAAGGGAAAACAGGGTTTGGAAGTGCAATTTGAGCATGATGTAAACACTTATGCTTACTTTATGTGGATGTTTTCCTGAAGACTTACCTTAAGAAACTAAAGCCGGATCAACTTGACTGAAACATAGTATGTGGAAATTCAAATACATGTGTGCTTTATATACAGTATATACTGCATATGTATATACATATACAGTATGTATTGCTGCTTATAACATACTTGAAGCCATTAAAGAGAGTCTGTGAAGATGAAGTTGTTGCACTCAAAGGTTATATGTAATTGCAACTGCCACTAGATGTTGCACTAAAGCACCAGCATCTCAGACCAAAACAATGGGCGCTATGGCTGACCAAACTCCATTGACAAAACTAGTAATTTACCTATCGCACCAAATACATCTTTGTTAGTCTTTCCGCAGTGTTTCTAACAATCAACAATATTGGTTTAGTTGAAATAAACCCTTAATTGACAAAGTCCGTTCTGAAAATGTCCTTTAAAGAGGTTGCAATTGCTGCAACAAGTAAGCTGACGTTAATCTTTGGGGACAAATGCACCTGTTAAAGTATGTCCATTAAAAGTGCTTGTCTTTGTCACTGACTGATTGTTATTCTAACGACCAGATCCTGAACTGGACCAAAAAAGGTGCCTGTACCCTACTTTAGCACAACCCTAATTCTAATTCTATTGGTGTTTTTTCTTTTAATCCTTTTTAATAAGGATATTTTCAGTGCTGTTTTGTTAGCATTAAGTAAGATGTGTTTACACAGAGACGCAGTTACAGGCATGCATCAACAAATCCGAGATAGTTATTTTTTATAATAATTTTAATAATTTTATTCACTTTTATTTCATACCCCTCGGGAAACTACTATTTTCCAGATGTTGGTGACCTCAGTGATGGGCACAGCCATGCTCACCTGAGGTAGGGTTACTCAATAAGAAGTGTAGACAAAAATCTGATCTGCCAGTACCATATGCCCACATTACGGACAGGATTTTTTTTGTTGAAGAGTAAGATCCATTTTGTTTAACCCTAAGCCCCCTATTATATTGCTATCACTTGCCACCAGAATACATAGACAAAAAGGGTCATTTTAACTTGCAGAGCAAAATGAGCACAAGACATAACACAGCAAGTGTATACAGCTGATTAAAATAAAAACATCTGTTCTGTCATACTTGCATGAGACTGACAACTTAAAAACATGACTATGGTGTCAAATTTTTGTGTAATTCCTGAGCCATATATTTTGCCCACGCATTAATGGTAATGAAAAATCCATTTTTTATTTCAGTCCTCATGTCAGTTGAGAGCTGTTTACACCACTTGCAGCATCAAGTCTGTGTTAGAAATGCTATAGACGGTCACATCTACATGCATACAGACTTTTAAATGATCAAATTTACATTTGTTAATAATTGTTAATTTTATGTGCAATTAACACTTAAGTCAATACATATAATATTTAAATTCTACTTGATATAATAAATAGTGTTTCAGAGTTTATAAAGTTTCTTCTCAGTCAACAACTACTAAAATTGTGTGATTTTTAAGGGATTGGGGATATTGTGGTTACTAGTTCAGTACATGTGTGTTAAAATGCGTCCCAGACCACCTCTGCAAGTGGTTTGAGTGATCGGATCACAGTGCGTCTCTGCAGTCGTTTACACTGTATTAAGAGCTGTCGACTTGTGATCGGATCACCCAAGAGGTATAAACTGGTATTAACAGGCTCATAAGAAGATAAAGTGACTTGTTGCCATAATGAGAAAAGTTTATTGTTTGAACAAAAAAAATGTTATATTGTAATAACAAGAAAGACACTCTTTTTGGTGATAAGAATTGTCTTTGTGGTATTGGCAGCACAACAAAGCACTGTACACCAGTGCTCACCTGAGAACAGATGCACTACAGCAGAAAGCAGGGACAGGGTGAAAGTCAATAAAGTCATCAGCTAAAGCACAGTGTCAAATCTCCTATAATGATTATTGAAAACTGGCTGTTGTGATAATCCTTTGTGATTAGAAAAGATAGATTCTCACACTCTCTCTAATGCCAAGGCTGAAGTAGAGACTCCTGCTGTCATTCAGTCATTTGTTTTTTTTTACTGCTATTTGCACCATTTTTAATAGCACACTATTTGACTGCCTTGCATCTAACACTAGTTTATCATAATTATAATAATTTGCCAGTTAGCACAGCTTCATGAAAATCAATAGTACCAAAAAAATCAATAGCCCTATTCAGGTTTCTGTTTCTGTGGAAATTAGGGTTAATGTTACCCTGCAGTGTGTGCTACATTTGTCACCCTGGTTTTTCTCCTCAGGACTCTACGATAAAAAGGAAATTATTAGATAAAAAAATCCCCTAATATTGGTTTCCCCCAACTGTTTAACCCTAACATTGGCAGCTGCACATCAAAAAATCACAAGATCACACAAGAATCCATCTTTCTGTGCTTCAGTCTATGCACTTGTGTCCAACACCCTATCAACCAACACTACTACAAGTTGAGAGTAGGTTTAGAAATACCACACCAAAGGCAGCAACGCCCAGTGGAGACTGATGGGGTGTGTCATAACCTGGCTCCTAGGCTATGACAAATACGGCATAAGACAATAGATGGCTAGAAATTAGTGAATTTATTATATTAATTTAAACAACTGAGGTTATAATGATGTTTTATAACTAGATTCAGGAACAAAGACTACGCCCTGCAATCATCTAATTTCTGCTCAAACTTACTTAAGCACACCTTATCCGTTCACTTCCTCCTTGACTCATTTTGCATATGATCGGCGTCAGACAGGAAACACAACAAATATCTTGAACCACGGAGTACAAGCTCACGCTCAACTCTTCAGACAGCGACATGTTTGAAGACGTATGACAAACTCACAAAATCTCCGAGTCCTCTTTTCGCCTACCATTCGTCAGCCACCCCGGCTCCGCTCAACAATCCACGCGCTCTGACGTTCCCGGCCTTCATCCATCGACAACTCCAACACCATCGGGCCACCCAACAGGTCCAGGGGAGTTATCCGGCATCTGACGGACATCCCACCTGCCAGCCGCCTCAGGCGAAGCCACCGTGACTCGACTTCACCTCACCGTTTCTCCGGCTGTCCCTCGGCCGTAAACATACCTGAGTGGACGGTTACTTGCCCGAGGACACACCCTTCCAACGCACGATAACAAAACGAAACTTCTCCAACTTTCCACACACTTCCAGGAAAACACCACTCTTCCTTGCCGAGCTTCACCGCCGCTTCCGGGTTCACAGCGTCGCGTCCTTGGCAACACTGATGACGTCATGGCGCATTCCATGGCCCAGCCTTCCTCATCAGCCCTCTCAGAGGGCCAGGTAGTATCAAACCCAGTATCTGCCATTTCGGCTTCGCAAACAACCCGAGCACAGGCATCCTTCCATCCCAGCATCCTTTTCCCTCCTCTCATTTCTAACTTCCCTGTCTTGTCTTCTCCGGCTGCCTCTGCTCCTCCCATTACAACACCGACGTTCTCAGGCGCACAGAGCGTGCCCACAAATACAATCCATGTATTTGTGGGCACGCTCCCAGCCACAAAACCCTTATTCTACTCCTGTTTCTTCATACGTAGCCTGTTTTCTCTTCCTTCATTTAACACACCTTTTTTTCCCCCACAGGTCCAATGTAGCTCAACCCTGGGCTTTCCCACCCATCCTCCCACGCTTAATAATTTCGATCTAGCCTCCGCATAACCTCCAGCACGGCCAATCCTTTCTATCATCCCCTTGTCACCACTCTCAGACGACAGATTTTCGTCTCTCACTACGTCAACATCGCCATTTAATTCCGCGCGCTGAACTTTTTAACGATAAATTAATCTTTCATGGCTAACTCTTAAAACCTATACGTAATATATATTTTTATGTTCGTTCAAATATTGGTTTGCCTCTTAGTCCTGCAACAGTTAGTAGTTTTATTTCAGTTATCAGCGTGACATTAGTCCAGACTCATATGCATCAACCTCGCCATTCAATACATCCGTCCAAACTTACCATCTCTCGTTTTGGCACATCGGGACCCGGTCGTCCCTTTGTTCCAGGGTCTCCTCTACTGTTAATATTTAACAATAAATAATCTTTCATGGCAAATTCTTAAAACTTAAAACGCAGTACGTTTCTTTTTACGTTCTTCAAAATACCGATTCACCTCTTTGTCAAGGCAAGCAGGAACCCCTGCAACAGCTAATTATTATATTTCAGTCATCATCATAACAATAGTTTACAGACTGGTACGCATCGACCTCGCCATTCAATAAATCCATCCGAACTTACATCTTTCATTTTGGCCCATCAGGACCTGGTGGTTCCTTAGTTCCAGGGTCTCCTCTTCTTCCCTGTTGATACTTAATTAACAATAAATAATCCTTCATGGCAAATTCTTAAAACGTACACGCAATATATCATTCCACGTTTGTTCAATATACCAGTTTGCCTCTTAATTCAGGCAAGCAGGAAGCCCTGCAACAGTTATTGGTTATACTTCAGAGCCATCATGATAACATTAGTTTACAGACGTATACGTGTCGACCTCGCCATTCAATACATCCGTCTTAACTTGCATTGGGACCATGTCCTCACTTCGTTCCAGGGTCTCTCTCCTTCCCTGTTGATACTTATTTAACGAAAGATTTCATGGCAAATTCTTAAAACGTATACACAATGTCTTTCCACGTTCGTTCAATATACCGTTTCGCCTCAGTTATTGGTTTTATTTCAGAGCCATCATTCTAACATTAGTTTAAAGAAGTATATGCGTCGACCTCGTCATCCAATACATCCATCCACAATCAACCCTCATAATCCACAGAGAATCGCTAACTGCACTCCAGTCCAATTGATTCGAAAACAGCCACTATCCACCTGCTCTAAACAAAGCATTACAGTACAATTCACCTT